CCAGTTCCCCCTCATCCCACAATGAGCTGGTCCAGTTCCCCATCACCACCCCAAACTGGTCCAGTTCCCCATCCAACCTCCAACCAAACCAACCCACTTCCTCTTCACCCTCCAGCCAGCCCAGACCCCCTTCCTGCCCCCATCCCCCTATACCTCCCAATCATCCCTCCGCTACCCATTCCAGTCCCCCCATCATCCCTCCCCAAGACATCCCACTCCCCACTGGACTCAGAGCTGGACTCAAAGTCAGGAAAAGCACTGTCACCCCTTTATTCCCCCACCGCCCGCTGCAGCCCCTCAGCCACCGCTGCCACATATGGCTCTGGCCACCGTCCCTGCCGCCAGGCTGGTCCCACCAGTGCCCGCAGGAACGCCCCCATCTCAGTGGGCAGTGCAAAGGCAGGGGCTGCCTGCAGTGCTGGGGGCACTGCCGGCACCAAGGCCTCCAGCTGGACCACCATGTAGCGCCCAGTGCCCGCTGCCAGTGCCGGCATGGCACAGGACAGAGCTGCCGCAAACACCTCACAGGGTGCCACGGCTGGGACATCAGCAGGGCCAGGGCTGTGCTGCGGGATGAGGCTGCTTTCAGCAGCCCCAGCCTCCAGCACAACCCTGGCCCCCGTGTCCCACTGTTGTGCAGCAGCCACTGCGGCGGGAGAGAGGAGGAAGATGATGGTGTCACCGTCACGCAGTGCCCGGCGGTGCTGGGCGTGCAGCCAGGGCAGTGGTCCCCATGCCGCTACCCCGCTGCCACCCCCTGGTGCTGCCACCACCAGCAGCCCCAGTGGGCGCAGAGCAGCCATCAAGGCACACGCCGCCCGCTCTGCCGCCGGCTCCGCCGCGTGTACCAGCAGTGCCCGCCGGCCTTGCAGGGGACCTGGGGGGATCATCAGTGTCTGGATCCCTCTAGGCACCCTGTACCCTTCCTGTGGTGGGAGGCATGCTGGGAGCACCCGTGATGGAAGGAGAGCATTCTTTGCCTCTGTCCCTCAACCTCCCATACCCAAGCTAAGGAACAGGCACGATGGGAAGCAGCTAAGACCATCACTGACGTGGGACCCATCCCCTGCTCAGTCCCCCGGTCCCCTTCCCGAATCCCCTTACCCACCCTAAGGGACAGCCACCATAGGAGACAGGTCATAGGAGACACAACCTGTCTTCCCACTGCTAGGATTGCCACCCTCTTCTCTGTTCCCTACACCTCTACCTACCCTGTGGGGCAGGCAAGCCTGGACCTGTTCTGGTAGGGGACCCCACCCTGCTCTGCCCCCTGACCCCTATGTCTGCCCACATCCCCCAGATCCCAGGCTCACCCCACACTCACCCTCAGAGCCATAACCAGCCCTCAGTGACTTCAGCCATCCTGTGAGGAGGAGAGGCAGTGAGCTGGGATCCTGGGAGGGGTCCCAGGACAAGCATAGCCCCCAGGGGTGCACCACTCACCTTTCATGTCCTCCTTCTTCAGCACGAGCAGGAGTAGGAGACAGGCAGCCGCCAGCAGCACCCCCATCCACACCAGTGCCCAGCGGGCACGCAGGTCTGTGGGGCAGGATCTATATCCACCAAGGGCCCCTGGCACCCAGGAAGGTGGCTACGCAGGTGGGTGCCCTCCCTCAATTTCCCATTTTTCCCCCTCTCCCACACCATGGCCATTGACACTCACACTTGTGCATGGGACAGGCCCAGAGCACGACCTCGGTGCTGTTTTCAGGGTGCCAGATCTGGGAGGACACAGGGACATGTCAGATGCTGCCTGGTCCCTGACCACTACCTGCTGGCTGCCCACACTGACCTGCCAGCACTGCCCTGCTGCCACATCCCGCTGCAGATCCTGCTCCAGCAGCCCAGGGCGCCCCCTTCCCTGCAACAGCGCAGGGGGTCAGACAGCTGTGCCACCACTGCTGGCCACAGGAGTCCCAGTGCCACCACTGCCACCGCCACCAGGACATGGGTGTCCCTGCCCTTTACCATGCTGGTGAAGCTGGCGAGGGGCGTGCAGGCATCCCGCTCCACAGCGCACAGCGAGGCATTCCCCCCATGCTCCAGCAGCAGGAGGTCATCAGGGCGGCCGGGCAGTGCTCCTGGGGATGTGCCAGGGGGCTGGGGGGGCGGCAAAGGGAGGCCAGGGCGGGCTTCCCCCCAGCTGGACCCACAGGCTGCCCCTGCCCTCCCACCCCAGCAGTACTCACGGTCCCGCAGGCACTGGATCAAACGGACCTGCCCACCACTCCACACCTGCCCCAGAGAGCGGGTTAGCAGTGCCTGGGGCTGCCTGTGGGGCTGCCCATGGGGCAGCTGTGGAGCAGAGAGGTGTCCTACCTGCACGCAGAGATTGGGGTGTGGCTGCAGCCTTCCAAACTCCTGGGGTCCCTGTGATTGGAAGGGTTGCTCCATGAATGCCACCTGCACCCTTCACGAGCCCCCAGCATCCCACAGAGCCCCACTCACCTGCCCTATGGTGGGCTGCTGCAGGCCAGGGAGGGATTGGCAGGGCCCGGAGGGCACTGGCTGCCAGCAGGCCACCAGCTTGGCTGGGAGGTCGCAGGGGGCTGAGAGGGAGCAGGTCAGCACCTGCCCCTCAGTGTGCAGGACCAGCTGGCTCTGCATCCACAGTCGCTCCCAGGCCTTGGCATCTGTGGTGGCACCAGGAGAAGGGTCTCACCCCATGTAGTCTCCCCTCAGGTCCTTCTGTGTCCCAGCAACCCCACACCCCAGCCCCAAGGTACAGCTACCATGGGAGAAGGGGCACAGGGTGGCCCTCAGTGGGTCCTGGGTCTCCAGCCAGACCTGGGAGCAGGGAGAGAGACAAGAAAAGGGAGGCTTTGGGATATCCATGCTGTGACTGTGACTCAGCTGGTCCCCTTGGGACACATGGAGCCTGGAAAGCCTCTTTTTTGGTGGCACCCTGCCACCCCCACAGTGCCCCAGCTGGGTGCCCACCTGCAGGCAGAGGCAGGGCAGCACCTCATCAGCAGGCAGGCTGTAGTTCATGGGTCTGCTCTGCTACCAGCAACCAGATGTGGGTCACCCCATGGCAAATCGTGCCCCACCAAGGTCACCCAGGGGGACCTGCTCCCAGGGAACCCTCTCCCAGCACACTGCCTGTAACACAGACACGGCTTCTCGGGAACAGGGAAGGGGGCAGCAGCCAGGTATCAGCCAAGGTGGGGGGTCAGGGAAGGGGGTCATACTCACCGCGGTCACTGCATGTCCCGGCCCACCAGTGCTGTGGCTCTGGTTGTGGTAGAGCCGGAGCGTGTAGCTGTGCCCCGCCACAGCCCCTTGCACCTCCACAACCACCTCCTTCTGCCCTGGGGAGATCTGCAGCCTGGGCACTGCACCAGAGCCAGCTCAGGTCACCCACCTCCTGGCACTACCCATCCAGCCACATGGCACAGGGCATGGCACCCACAGGGTCACTCTTGCCCCCAGCATCCAGCATCCCCCAGTTCTCCCCCGGGGAGGCAAACCAATGTGGGGTGACACCAGCACGTACCTTGGCACTGGGGGACAGCAGCCTGTGCCGGGGGCCATGAGCAGTCTGTGGGGACAGGGAGTCAGTGGGCAGGGGGATGGGACCACCGCAGGTGGCACGCCGGGGCTCACCTGGCACCCGCTTCTGCCGGCTCAGACTCCGCTGTCCGCGTGAGTTTGTGTACGCTGTGACATGGAGCTCGGAGCCCAGCGGTGCCTCGAAGCACCGGAAGATCACCCAGCCCTGGGCAGGAAAACCACCACCCCTCTGCGGTGAGGCACCGGCACCGCCAGCACCCACCTCCCTGGGGCACGGGACCCCCGTGCCATGGAGATGCACCAGTGCCAGCGCCCACATCCTCAGTGCCCAGGGACTGACAGTGCTGGGACACCCATTGCCAGTCCCCACACTTACGTACCAGAGTTCGGTTGCGCTGTGTGGGGGCCAGAGGTGCCCAGACCTCCACGGCCACACAGCGGGAGGAGGCAAATGTGTGCCCTGAGAGCAGCAGCAGCCCAGTGACATTGGGTTGAGACAAGGTGACCCCAGCCACTGGTGACCACTGTCCCCCGCCACTGCCATCCTCTGCCCCAGGGATCCCTAGCAGCACGGAGTGGTGGGTTTCAGTGGTAGGGGTGGTTCTGGTGGCAGGTGCCAAGGCCAGGCGCACACGCGCCTCCAGACAGGGCACACAGGCCGTGGGCTCACTGCAGTGCAGTGCCGGCTCCAGCCGCAGACGAGCCAGGGACAGCCCATGGCCAGGCCCCGGGGGCTCCGTCCCACACAGCACGTCGGTGTCTGGGGGGACAGGAAGGGCAGTGTGGGGGTGGGTCCCCATGCCCTGGGTGAGCTGGGGGCCATGGCGTGGTGGTGGCACTTACCCAAGAGGCGGCAGGCGAGGCCCTGGGGGAGGCGGGAGTGAGGCCGGTGGTGGTGCTGGCTGCCCAGTCCCCCCGTGCTGGTGACACCGACCCACCTGGGAGCAGGTCAGGCTGTCGCGGGGGCCCCCACGCCCACCCGCCGCCGTCACCACCAGCACGAGCAGGAGTTGCCCCAGCGTGGGCATGGCGGGGCCGGGGCCGTGGGGCGCCCCGGCCCCACGCTGCCTGCTCCCAAACAGCCCCACTCCCGGCTCCACCGGCCCCGCCGCGGCCGACGGCTCCTGCTTCCTGCTCTGATCCCGGACACCCGGGTCCCTGCGTGGCGTCAGCAACCGCCCTGGGGTGGGGCCTCCTGTTCCCGCACCGACCACGGAGGGATCCGTGCCCCGGCACCCCCGGGAGGGCTTGGGGCCCCACAGGGATGAAGTTGGCCCCATGGCATGGGCACGGTGCCCAGGCTGGAACCAGGCAGCCCCAGCGACTGTGGGATGCAGTGTGGCAGCCGTGCCGGGACAGGCTGTGCTTTCTCCTGCCCCCGCCCCATGCTGCAGAGGGGCATGGGGAAGCCTCCACCCCCCCGGGGGCACAAACAAAGTTCCCCCGGCACACCAGATGGACAGCAGGGCAGGGTGAAATGACGCCTTTATTGCTTCCACCACAAACCAGGTCCTGCTGGCAATGTCAGAGCAAGAAGGGCCAGGCTGTGCCCAGCGCCTGCCCCTCTAAGCCCCCTGTGCCTGGGCAGGGAGTCCCCCCACCTCTTGGCTTCTTCCAGTACACGTCAACCCCTCGCTCGGCTGTGTTGTCCAAAGGGGCTTCTACAGGCTCTCCTCTGGAGCAGGTCCCTGAATAGGAATAAAGCTGTCCCTGCCCAGGACAACATCTCTGCTCCTGGCCCCAGGTGACCAACTGGATGCTCGCTCCAGCCACTTCAGCCCATTCCATCGCTGAGGCCAATCCTGCTTGGACCCTCGTGGCCCCTGGCTGAGGCACCCATGGGCACCCCTCCTGCACTGCAGTGGACATGCTCACCTGAGCCCTGCCCGTCCACGGCAGAGCCCCTGCCCTCACCAAGGCTGTGCCCAGCCCTGCCTGCCCTGCAGCCATGCCCAGCTCAGTCCCAGCTCAGGCATTCATGTGCCAGCAGCTGCCCCAGGGGGCCGGGGCGGCTGGCTGCCCTCCTCAGCCCCTGCCTCTATCAGTCGATTCAGGAGACCCCCAGCCCTGCCCCGGTGGCAGCAGCGGGGGGCCGGGGGGCTACCCCGCAGGGCACCCAACAGACCAGGCAGCTGCCGGGGCAGGCGGTAGGTGGGCAGGGGCCGGAGGGGCCGGGGCACATCGCGGGGGCTGCAGAGCCGGCTGAAGTAGGCCAGGACCCACCCGCCACCGCAGCCTGCCGCACCCAGCTCCCCGTGCAGGCAGGCCATGGCTGCCCCAAAGATGTCGTGGGCATCCCCAGGCATCCCACTGGCCACCCCGACCTGCCACCGACGAAAGAGCTGGGCACTGCCCCGGCTCCAGAGGAGTAGGACGGTGCCACGCTGGCGGCCCACGCGGCTCCGCTGGGCATAGAGCCAGGGCAGGGTGCCTGCCTGCCCCAAGCCACCTGCTTCCCACAGGTCCAGGCGCACGTCGCAGCCCAGCCCCACACGCAGCCGCTCAGCCAGGGCGCACACCAGCCCCAGATGCTCCTCCGAGTCCGGTGAGTACAGCAGCAGCACAGGGCGCCCGCCCGGAACACCTACAGAATGGAGGGGACAGCAGTGACAGCCCAGCCCCACATCCCACTGATATCCCCTGGAGGAAACCCTGGCATCCACCACCATCCACTGCTCCAGGACCATCTGCAGCCCAGGAGCCAGCACACCCTGACAGTCCAGCCTGATGACCATCGTGGCTGCTGGCCCCATCCTGCAGGCCACCAAGGTGCCCCTCACCATTGTCCGGCCTCCAGGCACTGCAGCAGTTGAGGAGCAGCACGGTCACGACCAGCCCCAGTGCCAGCACCAGCCCCAGCAGCCCAAAGTGCCTGCGGGAGACTGGGAAAGGGGCAGTAAGGGGGGTGTCTGCCCATCTCTGCTGCCCCCTGCATCCCCCCCAGGACCTCTTCTCACCATCGGGACAGAGCAGCTGCTTCCGAGCAAAGTGCACGTCCGAGCGCCACACCTGGGGAAGGAGCTGGGTGAGGGGAGGGCCGTGTTGGGATGTCCCCCATGGAGCAGGTGCAAGCACAGGGGTCACCTTACCAGCACACAGCTGCCCAGGACCTGCACTGGCAGCAGCAGCGCCAGCTCCCCTGGGGCAGAGCCCTCTGGCTGCAAAGCAGAAGTGTATGGTCAGTGCAGGTCTGTCCCCACCATGTCCCCCCAGCCCTGCACCACTCACCTGCGTGACAGTGTAGAGAGGGGCCTCAGGCTCACACTGCCCACCCCGGCGCTGGCACAGGGCTGCACTGAAGGCCGCGGGGATGCGGGAGCTGAGGTGCAGGCGCAGCTGCAGTCCCCAGACACTCACTGAGACGTTCCAGGTGGTCTCTGTGGCCACCAGAGAGAGAGGGGAGGTTGCAGAATGCCCAATGGGATGAGAGGTGTGAGGGATGTGCTCAGCTCAGGGGTGCCTTCTGCCTGTGGGGCTCACCTGGCCGGTGGGGACACTCCACATGGCTGCTGTTCCTGTAGGAGAACTGAGGGATCAGCAGAAAGGGTGGGTGAGCTGCCATTGCCTACCATGGCCCCTCAATCCCTTCCCAGGTGGTGCCCACCCACCCACAGGGGCTTACTCGGAAGCAGAGCTGGGGGTGCACGTCCACCTTGTCCAGTGTGTAAACCTGGAATGCGCAAAGTGTGTGTCACTGTCACCATCCTTGATCCACGCAGTCCGCAGACACCTCAGTGCTCACCTGCTGCCCTCAGGGGACTGTGGGGTCCAGTGGGTGCCCCAGCCAGGGGCACGGTCCCGCATCCCATGACACCTTGGGACTTGGACCCCTCACCTGCTCCTCCTCGCTGGCTGTGGAGTTGGGGATGCTGTGGCAGGGTGCGGCTTCATCCGCTGCCTCCCTCCAGCACAGCGTGGCCTGTGGGTGCAGGGGGCAGCTGGCAGTCAGCGCCATTGCCATCTGGTCCTTGCTGCTGGCACTGTAGTCGTGGAAGCGCACCGAGGACCACAGCTCAGGGCCATCTGTGGGACACTGCATCAGTGGGCTGGGGATGCTGGGGGACACCCTTGGGACCCAGTTCCCCTCCCCACAGGCACTCACAGGCATCCGGCTGATCACGGAAGGGGCAGCGCTTGCTCCGCAAGCTGTCGTGGTGAGGGTAGGAGGCCTAGGGGAGCAGAGTGAGGAGTGGGGGACAGGATGTGCCCCCACTTCTCCTGCAAGGGCAGACAGGGGCTCCAGTGGCTGCAGGGGGAAGGTGACCCACCTCAATGCACAGGCAGGGCACCAGGAACTCATATGGCAGCGAGACGCGGTGGCCGCCTGGCACCCGCACCTGCCGCAAAGAGGGAGAATAAGCTGGTGGATAGTGTGCCCTTCAGTCTGAGATGGGAGTATTGGGGGCAGAGCCATTACCTGCCGGTGGAAGGGCTGGGGAAGCTCCTCACACTCCAGGGCCAGCTGATGGCACAGCCGCACCATGAGGGCAGGACCCTTGGGCACCCACACCTCAATGGCCCGTGCCTCAGGGACCCACGCATGGGTGAAGACGGGCTCTGCAGAGTAGGCAGGGGGTCAGCCGGCACCACTATCCCCCCAAGACACCCCCCGGGACTCCCCCATTCTCACCACGTGGCTCAGCGGTGACCAGGCGTCTGCGGCTGAGGGACAAGCCCCGGTCTGGGATGGTGCGGAGGGAGACAAGGACCTGCTGCCCACTCTCAGCCGGGAAGCAGTCGAACTGCACCTGCCACTGCGGGGAGCAGGGAGTCAATGGGCACCACCAGCCCCGGTGTCCCCAGGCCCTAACACCCACCCCAGACTCACCGTCGAGCTGTCCAGCACCCGGCGCCGCTGCCAGACCTGCAGCCAGCCGGCCCGGTTGGAGCCCAGCTCCAGGAAGGTGAGCAGCAGCCCACGGACACCGCCGAGCTCTGCGAGAAATCGGCGTGGGGTGCTGACACAGGTGGGAGGACGGGGTGCGTGTCCCCCACCGTGGGGATGCCCAGCCCCGCCACCCCCGCCCGTACCTGCGGCGGGGAGGGCCAGCCGCACCCGCAGGCAGGGCTGGCAGGGCTGCGCGGGCAGGCACAGCCGGGCACGGCTCAGCGACAGGGCGGGCGGCTCCAGCGGCAGCACGGGGCGGGTCGGGCGGCGGCAGCGGGGACGGCTCAGCGTCCTGTCGGCTGCGGAGGCAGAGCAGAGGGGGAGCGGCCGTGAGCCGGGGGTCCCGCAGGCACCGGGAGCCCCGGGGATTGGGAGCCCTCGGAAGAGGAGAGCCGGGGGAAAGGGGAGTCCTGGGGAGGAATACGCGGAAGGGAGGAGCCCAGGTGATTTGGAATCCTCGCAAATGGGGAGCCCCAGGCATCCGGAGTCCTCGGAAGCGGGGAGCCCCGGCGGCCGGGGAACTCCGGGGACCGGGAGTCTTCAGAAACGGGGAGCCCCGGGGATCCGAAGTCTTTGGAAGCGGGGAACCCCGGGAGCCTGGAAGCCCCGGGGGTCGAGACTCCTCGGAAGCGGGGAGCCCCATGCCCCGGAGACCGGGAGTCCCCCATCCTCCAGGACCCGGTAGCAGCGGGCGGGGGAAGCCCCGCCGTCCCGCCGCACCCCGGAGGAGCCGGTGTCCCCGGGCAGGGACAGCCCCGCGCGGGCAGCCCTGCCCCTCTCCCGGCCCCGCCGCTACTCACCGGTGGCCCGGCACTCCTGCAAGCAAAGACACAGGGGTGAGCGCGGCGCCGCCCGCCCCCCACCCACCTTCCCTGGTCACCTCCCTCCCTTTCCCCGGCGCTCACGAAGTTGGCGGAGACTCTGAGGTGGGTGACGGCGGCCCCTGTGCCGGGCGGCAGCAGCAGCAGCGCGGCGGCGGCGGCGAGCAGCACCGGACGCCCCATGGCCGAGCGCCGCCGCTCCCCGCCCCGCCCCGGGCCGGCCCCGCCGCATTCCTGCACCGGCCCGCGCGGGCCCGCCGCCCCCCCCCCCGCCGCCGGGCCGCGCTTCCTCGGCCCAGAGCCGCGTGGGAGCGCGGACGGTGCTTTATTTCCATAGAGCAACACGCAGACGAAGGGGAACGTACCCCAGGGAACCCTCCACGGCCCCAGCCCTCGGGGATTCCCCCCTCCCCATTACGTGCGAGCCCGGGGCCGTGGCGTGGCTCAGACACCCACAGCTTGGTCCCCGGGGGCCCCCCACCCACCGGAGCTGCGCCAGCGCCGCCCCACAGGATTGAGCTGCAGAGCTTCAGCACCTCACGGAGCCCACCCATTCACACTCATTTCTTCTTCTTTTCCTGCGTGCTAGTGAACCAGGAGTCCAGTAGCTTCTTGCTATAGTAGAGCTGCCAGCCATGGACCTGCGCGGCCACCACCACCACCAGGTACATGACGGAGACGGCCGAGAAGCCGAAGATGAAGCGGTAAGCTTTGCCATGGCGGTAGAGCTGCTGTGCCATGGGGAACATCTCCATGGCCCCGTAGATGAGGGGAGCCACGGAGAAGAGGCCGGTGCTGATCATGGAGAGCACCAGGTAGCTGATGTTGTTGCGGGGGAAGGAGAGCAGGCCCAGGAGGGAGGGCAGGATGCTGAGCAGGTAGGGGTACTCCCACTGGTAGGGCATGGCCACCTGGTCGTGGGGCAGCAGCTTGAGGTGCCCCACGCACATCTGGGCCAGCAGCAGCAGCCAGATGACCACGTGCGTGTAGATCAGCTTCTTGATCTCCGACTTGAGGGTCACGCTGGGGAGAGAGCGCGGGGCCGTCAGAGCCTGCTGGGGGTCGCGTGTCCCCCCCGGGAGCCCCCGGGGGAAGGGACACCTACCTCATCTGGTAGTGCGAGGCCACGCGCTCCCGGTGCTGGAAGTCGCTGCCGTCGGTGCCGGGGGCGCGGGGACCCCCGCGGGAGGCCATGGTGCTGTCCTGGGGAAGCACAGCGTCAGGCGGGGCCGCTCTCCCTGCCCGCCTCCCCAGCGCAGCCCCGGCCCCATCCCCCCGGGGAACCCCCGCCCCGGGCCTCTCTCCCACAGTGACAGCCCCGTGGCCCCTTCCCCGTAACCGCCCGCCCGGAGCCCCCCCGGCGGGTGCCGCCGCTCCCCGCCTTGCCGCACCTGCGGGCGGGACGCTCTGCCCGCGCTTCCGCCGCTCTATGGCCGCGGCCGCGGGCTCTCCGGATGCCGAGGCGGCCGCTCGGCGCAGGCGCAGTGGGGTCGCCATGGCGGGCACCGGGAGAGTCGCCGCCGCCGCCGCCGCGCGAGAGCTGGCGCGAGCGGGAACGGGGGCGCGCGCCGCGGGGTCAGCGGGCGAGGGGGGAACGTGGGGGACACGGGGAGGGTGTGACGTGGGGCGTGTGTGACACGGAGTGCATGGGACGCGGCGTGTCTGACATGGGGGGTGTGCACGGGGGATGCGTGTGTACGTGGGGTGCGTGGGATACGGTATGCGGGTGTACACGATGTACGTGTGGCATGGGGGCTGTGTGTACATACGCGGGGTGCTTGTGTGACATGGGTGTGTGACACGGGGTACATGTGATATGGGGTTCATGTGATATGGGGTACATGTGGACATGGGGTGCGTGGGACGTGGGGACACTGCGACACGGGATCTGTGTGACATGGGGCGTGTGTGATGGGGTCTGTGTGACATGGGGTGTGACATGGGGGGGTGTATGACACGGTGTGTGTGTATGTGCATGGGGTGTGTGACATGGAATGCACATGTACGTGAGGGGATATGTGACACGAGGGGTGCGTGTATGTGAGGTGCACGTGAGACGGTGTGTGTGACATGGGTGCACAAAGGCTGTGGGCACGTGGGGACACACACATGTGAGTGCAGAGGGGTTATGGGGTGGGTGTGGGAACACGTGGGGTTGCAGATGTGTGAGCACGGGCTGGGGAAGTGTGAGGGTGCAGGGACAGGCAAGGGGGTACAGGTGTGGGTGCAGGGGCACACCTGGCAAGGCAGGGTAGTCAGTGGAGAAGTGATTTATGGACACGTAGGGAAGGGTCAGGGTAGGCAGCTGGAGGAGTCCCACCCATGCACCCCCCTTCACTCCATCCCCTGCAGGCAGAGGCGGCCACTGGGCCCCGAGAAGATACTGGGGCTGCTGGAGGCTTCTGTGGTGCACCAGGAAGGTACCAGGGGGAGAGGGAGATGGGGGCAAGGGAGACAGTGCAGGGGCACATCCTGACCAGGTTTCCCCTCGCCAGGAGCCCTGCTGGCACTGAACAAGCCCCCGGGCCTGCCTGTCCTGGGTGAGTATGGGGCAGGAAGGGAGGTCTGCTGGGGGTACCTACCTCGGGGGCTCAGCAGGTGCTGACCCCCCAACCTCTCCCCAGGACAGCCTGGCGAGCTGAGCCTGGATGCACTGCTGCCAGTGCTGAGGCGACGGCTGGGCCTCCCTGCTGACCTCCATGTGGTGAAAGCTCCTGCCAGGTATGGTGGGAGGTTCCAGGTTGAAGGCCCTGAGGCGGAGCCAGGGGGGCCTTTCCACCTCTGGGGCTCAGAGCTGCCATGTTCCATAGGGAGTGTTCTGGCCTCGTCCTCCTGTCCAGCTGCTACCACACCACTAAGAAGCTCCAACAGTTCTTCACCAAAGCCCGCCAGAGAGGCCAGTACCCTGCCACATACTGGTAAGTCCCTGGGCCCCTGCTGTGCTGGCATGGGGGTCCTGTCCCCTCCTCACCACCTCTCCCTGCAGTGCTGTCACTGTGGGAGTCCCGGCAGAGGCGAAGGGCGAGATCCGCACTGGGCTGTGCTGGCAGCAGCAGGGTGACACTGCCATGGTAAGAGGGTGCTGAGGGTGTGGGAGGTGTCCTGGGGAGTGCTGAGGGCTGTGCTCCACAGGTGGTACCAGTGCCAGCCCCAGGACGCCACAGCCTGGCCAGGAAGGAGGTGAAGATTACCCTGACACGCTACCGGGTGCTTGGTGCCAGGGGGGGCTGTGCCCTCCTCCAGCTCCAGCCCAAGACAGGTGAGTGGCTGCACACCCCATGCTGCCATGCTGCCCCACCCACACAATCCCATCTTTCCCCTGTGCCTCCCCAGCCTTCCCAGAACAGCTTCAGGTGCACCTGACGCTGCTGCTATGCCCAGCACTGGGTGACCACGAGCACTCCTCCCGTGTGGGCAGTGTCCTGGGGGTGCCCTTCCTGCTGACCCCCGAGGCCGCCCCGACCCGCACACAGGTATGTGGCCAGGGTGGATGCTGGCTGGGGGATTCAGCATAGCCCCCAGGATCCCACTGAGCTACTCACCCACATTGCAGGTGCTGGACGAGGAGTTGCTGTCCCGGCTGGGACTTTCACCGCAGCAGCTCCGTCACCTCCCACTCCACATCCACCTGCAGGAGCTCGTGCTGCCCGAGGGCCCCCTCTGTGCACCCCCACCACCCCACTTCGTGCGGACCCTGCGCTGCCTGGGGCTGCCCGAGTGCCCTACTGCCACAGGGGGATCCCCACCCCACAGCGCTCTGCCAGCCCATTAAAATCCCCACCTGCAGCTGGGGTGGCTCAAGACTCAGTTCTTTTCTTGTCACACACAGGATGTGTTTCCCCTCACTGTGCCCCTGGCATTGCCGGGGGCACCAGCCCTGCCACCCCTTTGTGCCCAGCCTGGTTCCCAGTGCCGGGGCGCAGTGGCATCACCGCCATGAGAGGTGGTGTCTGGTATGTCTGCCCCTGCTGTGTCTGGCCAGGGTGACCGCAGGCAGGCAGGAGCAGAGGCAGCTTTTCCTGCCTGCTCTGTGCCCCAGCAGCCCCAGTTCCTGCCCGCAGCCCCATCCCGGGGGCAGCCCACAACTCGGACACACAGAAGGTCCAAACCAGGCTCCTTATTGCAGAAGTATTTTGAAGTGCATGTGAGGGATGAAGTGGGGACCATGACACAGCAGTAGGGGTGCACTGCAGTGAGAGGGAGCCGAGTGCTGCCATGCTGGCCTAGCAAGGATGGGCGGGGTGCTGTCCCCTCCTGGGAATGTCTCAGTATCCCAGGACACACTTCTGTGTCCCATTGGGAACTGCCATATGCTTCTGCTCTGGGCTGGGGGTCCCAATGATCTGTGCAGGCAGAGGTAGGCGTGGTGGCCTGGCAGGAGGGAAGGAGGGGACACAGCCCAGGGCTAGCCAGGGGTTGCTGGGGGCTCCCCACGGCAGTGGCATGGGCACCCTATCCAGGCGACAGACACTGATCAGGGGCTGAGCGGCCTGGGGCTGCCTGTGTGGGTGACAGAGCCATGACAGCCCCTGGCTCCCAGCAGAGCAGCTCCAGGGCTGTGGCAGTGCTGAGGGGCCAGAGCTGGGGCGGCACCATTGCCACGGAGGAGGCAGCTTCCCTGTTGCTGCTCTGGGCTTGGGCACCTGGGTGTCTCTGGCTCCTGGGGGCATAGGGAGCTTGGGGGCACTGAGCACAGTGGTGGGGGGTTGATGATGTGCTTGCTGTGGCATCCGGGTGTCTCTGGCCCTTGGGGGCACAGGGAGTTTGGGGGCACTGGCCATAGCGGTGGGGCATCGATGCTGTGCTCGCTTGGGTACACGAGTGTCTCTGGCCCCTGGG